TTTTACAACGGCTTTTCCGATGACTGGGAAAATGTTTATCTGCTATGGAGAACATACGTTAACCAGGGATGTCCGATAACATTTCATTGGCTTACTCCTATTACCGATAGCGATGATGACTCGAAGAGTGAAATGACAGATCTGAGATACACATGCGTGAACAATGATGAAGTTGTTCCCAGAACAAAGTCTCACAGATTAGCTGAACGTATTCAGTCTGAATATTCGAGTAATAAGTTTCCAAAAAAGAAGGAAAAATATAATAATTGCTTGAAATACAGTTCTCAAAATTACGAGAAAAATACTTTGTTCATAAAGCCTTTAATTCCCGAGTCAAAAAACAAAGCACCTGTTTCACAAACGAGCTTGGCATATGACGAAGATGGTGAGCAGAATTTTAGACCGAACGTAAATACATCGCACTCTTCCAGGAAAATGACCATATTGAAGGACTACATCCAGAAGGATAAACCGAATATTATTATCAATAATTTGATAGATAAGAATTGTTCTCGGGCATATATTGATAAGATTGTCGAGATGTGTGATTGTTTGAATTATGTAGCGTCTTATGAAGCGCTTTCAGAATGCATTCACAGCCCGATGGTTCTCGCAAGACAACATACTTTCAAGTCGGAACAGACTTCGCCACAGCAGACCGCCATGCTCGATAGCAATTGTGTAGACACTAACAAGATTGGAAACCGAACGATGGAACCGAAAAGCTACGTGCATTCTAGCGATCTGGGATACAAAAGCGTAAAAAATGACTTCATCACCGCTCATCAGTCGAATCCAATAAGTACTAAGCCGGAGCGCAACGATTACAAAAATTTGGACAAATCGGAGAGTGAGATTTACTCGGGCATACCAAAAATACAGATCGAACGAGTTTTAAGACATAGAGAAAGAATGCACAACGGTCAAGTGGAAAAGAAAATAATGCCTCAGAAATATGCGGCGAATTCGCAGCACAATGCGAGAGGAGTCGGGTCTGAATCTGTTCGAACGACAATTCCAATCGTGAGTGCCAAAGAGACTTTATTTTCCGAACCTTGCACAAGTACGCACGATGAAGCGACGAATGCAGGAAGACGCCGCAAAGCAGTTGTGCATCAAAGACCGCACAAAACCACTTTTTTAATCAATCAAGAGGCACAAAGAAGATTGAGATCTTCATCCACCGATAGCGAAGTAGAGAAATTAAGGTCTCTGCACAAGATAACGTAAAATTGATTCAAATAAAAATTAAATTATTCTCTTTTTGTTACATCAAGAAAAACTATACATTCAATTTCTTTTTATACAGCGTTTGCGCATCTCGCAGCCGAAAGTTTATACAGATGCGGACTTCTTGAAAGATCAGCTGAAAAGAACATCCTCTTTCTACGCTTCATTGCAAAACACAGTCTCACACGAGGGGTACGAAGGCATAACTAAACCTAAGTAATTTCCATTTATTCAATTTTTTTTTTTAATTTAAGCAATGCTATGGTTGTATTTATATTATGATTTGCTGTATTTATTTAGCTACACGACCTGTTCATTAACGAAAAAGGCCAACAACAATATCACATGTGCTTATTATAAGGATGTTCCAGTTTCGGAAGACTTTTTGTCAGAGGATCAAATATCGATGTTCGGACGATAATCGTGCAAAGGTTTTCATATTATATTAATATTTGCATTGCTAATATTTTTGATAATTCTAAGAAAATAATTTTTTTTGTTTTGCGTTTATAAATTATTTTGTAATATAAAATGTTTTGTTCATATTTTATAAGATATTATCGTAGGCAGTAATTTCAATATTCTTTTTTTAACGAGTTAGGAATCGCACACAAGTCATAAAGTTGCATTACAGTGTAATATAAAAGTTTTATTTTCTAAGGATCACTTTTTCCAATGTCGTAAATCTAATCAATGGTTAAAGGATTACATAAAGAATGAAATATTGCAATAGGAGAAAATTTCTTTCATAACGTAAATATTATATATAACATTATAATGTTAGTATTATAAATATTGTTTTGTTTTTTTTACTGTCGACTTTTATACACTTTCTATTCATATGTTAAATAAAAGATTTATGTTAGGATCGACATATATAAGTTTTTAAGTTGACT